TTGCAAGGTGCGATATCGGTCGATCGGAAATTAATTCATCTCGGACCATTGAGGTATCTCTGCCTTATCGTGGAGCGATTGTTCCCATAATGAGCTTAGGCAATTTAGAGGATCACAAGAAAATAAGCAGACAATCCCAATTTTCGGTGCTCACCCTGGACAAGTCAAGAGCCGTTAAGGGCGGCTCCAGACTTTTGTATTGCTGAGTGGAGATTGAAAAGTATTTTCAATTGACTATTGACTAATAGTCGCTTATTCTCAAATCTTCCGTCAGGCTCGCCCACGCTGACTGAAAACCGTCATTCGTGAGCGGGGACTTAGCTTCGCCGCTGGTTTTGGAATTTAGGTGGAACAATTTTTCCACCGGTGTCAGTCTTGGATTGTTTATATAAGCTGTAAACAAGTCTCGAAAAGTAGGCCAGCGTTGGTAATCCCCACTGAAAACTTCAGCATGACGGGAGACTGCAAGCCCTGGAAATGGAGAAGTTGGAGGGGGGTTGCTCAGCTTGTCTATTTAAGGCCGTGGCTCTTTCTATTTTTCTCACCTAGATGAGCCACTCATTGCTCGTAGACGGAGTACGAGTAATCATATTTAGCTTGCATAGCCATTAGGTCACTGCTGCTGCACGCAGGGTTACAATAATATGAATTGGAGAAATAATCATACAAAATTTAACATTATTTTTAATATTATTACTACTTGGATTATAAGGTTAAGGAAACAATGAATTAAATAGAATTGAATAATCATTAAGAACAGAATAGAATAGGATTTGTAGGAAGTTAACAAGGGCCGATTATAACTAAAGTTTAACCATAAGCAACTCTGACTCCTAAAGTTAAATCGAGGAGCAGACTAGAGAAAAGACTAAAGAAAGAGAGAAAGGGTCGTAAGATGGCGAGGCTGATCAGCAGCCATACTTTTAATGCGTGCAAGCGTGAGTATCGGACGTGTGGACGGAGCAATTAAAAAAGAGAATTAGATACCGTGAGGTTAAGAAAAGAGAAAACAAGAATTGTCGGTGCAGCAGGGCCACGGAGCAGTTATACACAAATTGTTTTCAAATTCGGCCAAAATATGACCCCGGCTAGCTGAGTTGGAGCCCAAATATACGCGACCCCGATGAGCATAGGAGGTCGAAATCCGAGTCAGATTGCGGCCCACGCCTGAGCACCCCCGGGCCTGCTTGAGATCCCAGAGATCCCGAAATACAGGGAACGTCTCGTTCTTCCGACAGCGTCTCGTTATCACCAGGCCGCCCACCACCCGTAATATAAACTGTATTTGCGGAGACAAGACTTCTCATCTTTGCCCAACAGTAGGGCCAACATTACCTGTCAGATTCAGGATCGCAACTAGGGGGAAGCATGGGCTCACATCTGGGCGTCTGCTGAACAACCCGTTCAGAGTGACTCTACCGCCAGTCGTCGGGGCGACTCCTGGTGGGCTAATCTCTGCATCGTTGCCAATGCCACAAGAAGATACCGCCAACAGGATGATCGGTCAAGAACCAGGAGTAACGGCCAGGCGACGACCGATATGCTAACGATGCGGGGAAGAGGGCCATTTTAGAAAAGAGTGTCAGGTCCTTGTTTTCGAGCAATGCGGTACCAGAGGGGTGAGCAGCCAGGTTTCCCTGCGGAAGTAATCCCGGAGGCGAAGTTAGGGATTCGGGAAGGGGCAACTGTCTGCCCGACGGAGAGAATCCCGGCGGACCGGTCGGTTCATGAAGGGTTGTCCGGGGTGACGGTAGGAGTGCCGAAACGGGAACGTAGAGGGGAAGGGTGGAAAGGCAGGCGACGGCAGAGGTCAGCGGAGGCGGGGATGCGGGGTAAACATGTGAATCAGCACCTAAGAGCGCGAAGCTGGGAAGAATGGCCGGAACCCACGGACAGAAGGATAAATCCCAAACCTCAGGGGCACGCGCGCTACATATCGACGCCAATTCTGAAGCAGGGAAATTGGCAAATAGCCAAGGATGAAGGGGGTGAACAATACGCACCGTTTACGGTCCCATGTCGGGGTCTACATCAGTGGAAGGTGATGCCCTTCGGGTTGTACCACGTTCCAGAGGTGATAGGGCCAAAAATGGAGGCCCACGCAAAGGCGTGGCTAAGGCCTATCTGGATGACATCATCGTCATAGGCGCGACCCAGGAGCAGCACTTGGCCTACTTGAAGGAAGTGTTCCTGTAACCTGACGCTAAACCAGGAGAAATGTCGTTTCTTCTAAACGGAGTTGGTATACTTGGGACCTGTGGTGAGCGGCGAGGGAATTCCCACGGACCCTACAAAGGTGCTTGCGATCCAGAGGTTGACGGTCCCGTCGAATTGTAGAGAGCTGCGGCAGTGCCTGGGAATGGCGTCGGAGTATCGACCCTTCGAGCCCAATTTCGCTTCAGTAGTGCCTTAAAGGCGGAGATCAACTATTCGGCCACGGAAAAGTAGTGTCTGGCTATAGTAAGGTCGATCCGCAAGTTGAGGTGCTAGTTGGAGGGATACAGGTTCGACGTCATCACCGACAACATGGCACTCTAATGGCTCAATTCGATAGAGAGTCCATCTGGAAATATCACTCGATGGGAACTAGAGTTGCAGCAGTTGTCGTGCAGTACCGGCGTAGGAAGCTGAACGTAGTAGCAGATGCGCTATCCAGGCAGCCATCACAGGCATGCGTTCAGGCCGTGGAAGAGCAGCCTCCCTACGAATGGATCGCATGCATGCTGGAAAAGGTTACTAAGGAGCCAGAGAAGTACCCGGATTACGCAGTTAAGAACAGCCAAATATATCGTCACTTAGGACACAGAACCGATGACAAATACTATATGCGTCGCCGGCAACCATCAGCAGAGAGTTCTGCAGAAGTGTACCAATGCCTGGACGGCGGGCAATCAAGGAGTGATGAAGACGATATCTCGACAAGCGCAGACGTACTATTGGCCAGGGATGTTCCGGGACGCCGCACGGGATGAAAGATGCTTCGAGGTGTGCCAAAAATTCAAGGTAGAACTGTTGAGACTGGCAGGACGGATGCTGACGCGCCTAATTTCTAGGCCCCTTACCACACTAGAAGCACGGAAATACAATGCTGCTGGTATTCCATGATACGTTCAGTAAGTGGATGGAATTGGTTCCCTTGAGGAGGGCGACAGCGGAAAACTTATACAGGGCGTTCGGAGTCCTGAGAAAGTCCGTTCACTAGCCGGACATTCAAGGCTTTTCAAAGTTCCATTGACGTAAAGGTACAATACATGGCGCCATACTCCCCTCAGGAAAACCCCACCAAATGGACCAGTGTAGTAAACACGAGTGTGGTCGATTCGACCGGCTTCTGTCCCGCCTTCTTATTACAAGTACCGCGAGCCTCAACTCCCAGTAGTCCCTATACGATGTCCAGCAAACGCTTGGGTGTGGCTACGTCAGCATCAGCTGTCTAAGGCCGTCGACGGATTCTCGGTAAAGTTAGCACCGAAGTTTAAAGGCCCCTACCCCTACCCCTTACCTGCGGCAAAGACAGAAGAGGCGACCACACGGATACCAAATAAGGTAAGAAAAATTGTAACAACTAGCAGGCTTAGTAGTTATAAGAAGAGTCTTGTGAGCTGCACCATAAGTACCTAGTAGAGTGAGTCGATAGACCGAAGTTGTCCGCAGTGGCGCGACTCTGACCCACCGCTGGTCCGTAAGGCCTGTGACACGGAATGGTGGTGCGACCCCCACCACCGTTAGTCTCGAATTCCTCAGATATGGTTTGGGGCGAGACTCCCCCTACCGTTGATCTCGAAATTGATCCCAGATCTCACGAGGGACCCATCTCCCCAGCGTGAGCCGTACTGGGAGGTGGGAGCCAGGCCTCGAGGTGTTGGTAGCCCCGACAGAATCCGCCGCGGAGGAGAGGGGGCCCGCGACTCCGGAAGATGTTCTCCCACTACAAGGTTGGACGGTCCACAGCAGACAGGAAATAAAAACGTCAAAGACGGTGATGTCGCCTGCAGGGTGACGGTCACCTCCGGTCACAAGATGACGATCACACGCCGTCAAGAAAGGGGGGTGTAACGAGGGATCACAATGAAGCAAATTATTACACATTATATTATATTTATTTTCCTATTATTACTATTAAGTCGAATAAAGTGCATTATTATTAAATTGTTATTTGATCAATATGATTATTTTTCGATTATTGGGTTAAGGAAATACAATGAATTAAATAGATCGAAAATAGTCGTTAAGAATAGAACAGAATAGGATTTAGAAGCTAAGAGGGGCCGACGATAATTTAAGTTTAATCATAAGCAACTCCGACTCCTAAAATGTTAACAGGAGGAGCCGCACGGAGAAAAGGGCGAAAAAGGGTCGTAAGGCGGCGAGACTGATCAGCAGTCTTTCTTTTAATGCGTGCAAGCGTGAGTATCGGACGTGTGGACGGAGCAATTAAAAAAGAGAATTATATACCGTGAGGTTAAGAAAGAAGAAAACAAGAATATACAAATTTTTTTCAAATTTATTTTTTTAGTATCGCGTCTTGGCAAACTACAATTTTCTTATAGTTTTTTCTTATAGGCTAATCACCGGTTTCACTTTGGATACGACAAGCGTGAGTATCAGACGTGTGAACGGAAACATAAAGGAAGAAAAGGGGATTAGACGCGTTGAGAGATAGCCGCGAGGTTAGGAAGAGTTAGAGTCAAGAACTGACGGTGCAGCAGGGCCACAGCATTATACACAATCAATAGCAGTAAAATATCAGTGCAGCGCAGTGTTTTCTAATTTCATTTTCAGCTCTCTTCCTCTGCGGCAGATCGATCCCAGCAGCTCCCTCCCCTCTCCCTAAAACTAATTACTTTGTGGCGGAGCGATCCCTTCCACCCTTTCAGCTTCGCGTCTCCGACTCCAAACTCTAATTCACCAGTTATTGGAATAACTTATAGCTTTACCAGGGAAACAAATCAAAATTTTGCTTATCGGATCGCATATTATATAGGTTCTCTACGAATGATTTTTTACACTCTGCCAAATCTTGTGGGAAGAGTCAAGGTTAAGGAAACGTAGCTTCACTATTGTCATTTTGATGTTCCAGCGGACAGTAAACATATGTTTGACGATACATGACGATGGAGAAATAATAACCATTGTAGTTGAATGACACTGAAAATAAAGTGAGTGAGTAGGATATGGACTTAAAAATTCAGAGTTTGGAGATTCAATATTTAAATCGGGTTGAGTCTGTTAATTAGCAATGGACATATCTGGCAGAATAGCGGGACACTATTATGACTGGAGCAAAAACCGTGGCGTGTTAGATGTTAACCGATATACCAGTCACCTATCTGGGTCAAACAGCTGAAAATGTTGGAAAGGTGACAGTTAAGGTTGCTTATATAATTTTTTTCGAATAATTCGGAATTTGACAATATTATTTCATAATGTCAGCTTTGAAGATATATTGAAAATAACGCTACTTCGTAAAGTCGTTTTGATGTACGGGGCCTGTATGTTGGATATCATATCTCGACCTCTAATTCCCCAAGTTTGTGTGATTGGCATTTGTGTTCGTGGTGTGAACAAAGTTGTTTTCTCAAAAGGTTTTTCGAACTTTTATAGAAATATGCTCCACCTCCCAGAAAGTGGTGAGAAGTTCATTTTATTATGATTCATAGATTAATTGATTCATCTATTGATTCATAGACACTCGGGTAGGGGAGGATGAAATTGAATTGTCGGCATGGGTCATGCGAGAACCCACCTAAAATGGTTTCCTGCCCTAGAAAAGTACTACAGATATTGGTTTTTACGTTGCCCAGTGATTATGATGCTTAACTGTTGAAGTTTGGGTCGACAAGTTGTAGGCTTGGCAAGTCTTAGAAAGGAAGTCTGAAGTTGATAATTGTATCCTGGGCATTGAAAGAGAACTTGTCGAAATTGCATCGTTTGTGCTCATGAGCAGGAATAGACTGATAAAATTAAATGCTTGGTGAAAAGCGAATGGCTTAGAAAACAGTATATTCTGACATACAAACAAATTGTTCAACAAATTCTTCATATAGATATTTATATATGCCTGTCTATATATGACAAAACATTCTGATTTCTAAGATATTTTTATCACAATAGTCATTTATCTTTTAATTTAACAAAGTAATAATAGTCTACCCTAATATCCTTGTATATATATTACATATATTTAAAATTACCCGCTATCGACGTGATCAAATAAATGTGAAAAACACTGGGCGCCTCATGCCCTCCCAATCATTTAACCACTATAAGAAATTTATAGTTTGCCGAGGAACCTGGGAGGATTGAGGTGTAAACATATTATTCCAAAGGGGCTTTCAGGGTAAAAAAACAAATATTCTTTTTGTGAACTCGGAGATGATGGTTTTGCAAGTTACATATGCTGAAAAATTTTTTTTTTATACCTTTAGCAATTGGATCACGGTATAATGGGTATAAAGGGCTCTGTTGAAAAATTATTACCATTTTTGTTGGCAGGATGGAAAATAAAACAAGTAAGAGGTTCTAGTCGGGACCTGACTAGGGGATACCCTGAACCCTCTTTTTCCAACACCAAATGCAGCTCGCGCTACGTGCTCGTTTGCGTTAGTAGTACTGCCGCCGCCTCTACTCAAGAACCACACCATTAATTGAGTTTTAATGAGAAAAAACCAATTCAAATAGCAGCATACAAAGCATACGCGCATGAATGTGTGTGTGTACATGTATAGAGAAATTCTTGGAATTTGCGCTGGATGCTGCTAAAACGGGCGCACATAACTTTTGTGTTTCTTAGCCGATCTTTATGAAATTTTCGACAGTACGTCTTATTGTAGAATAGAATATAGAATATTCGTGTATTCTCAAAATGACAATTGCATTTAAATTGTGTCTTAATTAGGTAGGTAATACAAGTTGGTTTACTAACATGATTTATAGCTGTGTGTTGGTAGCGGGGAGGTTGCGATAGCTATAAAATGAAAGATACTTGATATATATAGACTATTTTAGAAGATACATGTCAAGTTTGGTGACTCTAGCTCTAATTATTTACCAAAATTGCTCAAAAACAGGATTTCGATATCGATTACTTGGAAACAGGGCAAATTATCGAATATCTGAAACAAACTCGATCTGCGCATGGACTAGGAGGACAAACAGCTAAAATTTCAAGTCTCTAGCTCTTATAGGTTCTGAGATCCTTGCGTTCATACATACGGACAGACAGACGGACATGGCTGATCAAGAATATATTTACTTTTTGGGGTCGGAGATGCTTTCTTCTGCCTGTTATATACATTTGCACAAAAACATTATACACTTTTTATCCATTTTTAATGGGTTCAGGGTATAAAAAGGCTTTTATTACTGTTATATTTTGTCTTGTTTAATACATGTAGAACTTACCCTTAGAGCGCCAGCAACAACTAGGACTGATTTTATTGCACGCAATCCCCAATCATAATGATCTTGCTTTGAGAGAAGCTCCCTGCATAGAGTATAAAGTGTGATAAATTTTCTTGCCAGCAGTCGTGCCTCCTGAAATCCCTCGGCCACCAACATAATTTCACTTATAAGGGCAAAATCGGGGACTACCATAGCACAAGGACGATAAAGGGCTTTTAAGTTTTCTGGCAGCTCAGCACGACCAGCGTATCCTGGATTCATTGTTATAAACACACCAACGGTAGCTCTCAAGGCGATGTACTCGCCTAAAAAGCTGAAGGTTGTTTTTTTAGCTTTTATAGCGTCCTGCATACACTTTACCTGAACAGCTACCACGGATAACACTTCAACTGAGATTCTATTAAATTCATCAAAGCAACCCCAAGCTCCAGTTTGCGCAAGACCCTTATGTATGTTGCCAATTGATTTATAGTCCATTTGCTCGGAACAATTGAATACATACACCATCATCCCTAAAGCACGCCCTAAGTCCTTGGTTGTTTCGGTTTTTCCGGTACCGGCGGGGCCTGCTGGAGCACCACCCATTACAAGATGTAGAGACTGAGTTAGTGTAATGTAGCAGCGATCTGTTAGAGGAGTAATTACAAGACGTGGAGTGTTACCAAGATACTCATAGTCGTAACGGAACTGAGCATCGCAAATGTTAGCAAAGCAATCGTCAATTTTGCTGTCCCAACGATGGCGCAATTGACTTTGCCACTGAAACGCCGTCTGTACCTCTATTTTTTTTGTTATGATAGTAGACACAACGTCTCGACTATGTACATCGATGGTACAGACGGTCATGACCTTCTGCCGCTCTGCCGCTGTAAGATCTCCCAACAAAAGTATAATTAGGTTATTCAGTTGATTCACTTGTTTCCTATTATAATCCTTAAGGGCATTTTCATACCGCAGCTGTACTTTAGCAAATGCATCATTTGTTTCAGCTGTCCACATGATTTGCGTGCCGACCAAGGCTGGCTGAGCTGGCCATTCAAATATCCAAACATGACGCGGCTTATGATCATATTGAGTCAAAGAACGTCTCAGCTGATCTCGGAGCGTCTCCCGCATTTTATCGGTCACACGATTTAGCCAAACCTCTACTTTACCACTGCAATCACAATTTTGCAGAAAAGGAACATATTCTTCTAGTTCCTTGGCTACCATGCCTCCTGCTTGTCTTGTTCCAGCTATGAGATTAAGTTTTCCAATAGAATCGTATAACTTAGTCAAATGACGCGATACCATTGCAGGATTATTCCCGTTTGATAAAATATCTAACAAATCTGCCGATGAAACAAAATAAAACCGAGGGTAAGACAGTCGTTTTGTCTCCAAATAGTCGTTAAGTGCTTTCTCACATAAAAGCAGCATTTTAAGCAATGTTTCCAAATGTTCGTAGAGTTTGCTACCAGAACGATTAGTAGAACGAACGACATTACGATCAGAGTTCATTTGAGCCAATAGAGCTCGAAACTCTCTATCAATGAAGTCAAATCGTTTAGAATCTTCAGGCAGTTGTGAACGTATGTCCTCAGAGCCTATAAAAATGCTTTCCAGATACTGCCATTTTCGCTGAACTTCAAACCAAGAGCCAATGATTTGATCTGCATTTGATAGTTTCTGTTGCCAGGATGAGACTTCTTGCAGAAAAAAAGTTACATATTTCGAAGAGGTCATATTTTGTAACTGAGCTTGATGGTCTTCTAGAGTCTCAATCATTTCTTCAGATGCTTTTAATAATTTAATACCTGTGCGTTCGTGTACTTCTATACCAAATTCCATGCCAGCCCAGGCTGCTGCTATATCGCGTAGTTGCTTTTCCATGTTCATTTCTTTAACAGATTTATCAACAATATTTTTAACCTCTTCCTCGTATTCGTGCAAATTAAGATCAATAAGATACTTTAAAGTCGTTGAATCGTCCATGTTGAATTTTACCTTAGTGGTCTGCATAAGCTCTACCCAATGGCGGTCCCGTATTGCAGGGTTTTGAAGTTCGGTGACTGCACGCAGAGATGTCATCAGATTTTTTAATGACGCCTCCATGAATATAAATGGTTCCCAGCTACGCATTGTTGGGTCTAAGCCTCGCAGCTCTCTTCCAAACTTCTTACACTCTTGATCCATTGCTTCAATATCTATCTTTTTCCATGGTGTTTTTTTCCAATCATTTATAGTAGATTCGATCGAAATAGCAAAGTCCCACATTATTTTAACAAGCTTCAAATCGTTGCGACAAAGTTCAATCTTGGTAGGATCGGGGCCTTGTAACTCAAAAAGAACTGCAGACTCCGTAAGAGTTTGTTGCCGTTCCTCTAATTCAACAATTTCTAAATCTGTTTCGTCAATAAGCTCATAGCAATTGGGACAGGGAACATTTAAGAATTTCTTTCGCATAAATTTTTTTCGATATGTGTTTGCCATATTGTTGCATAGCAATATGCGTTTTTCTATTTGGTCCACCTGGTAACTTTGTATGGGTGCAATAAGCTGTTTTGTCATGGCGGCTTGCCTCTTTATTTTTAGCCATGCATCTGGCAATTCGTTAAGTTGTAAAAGCTCAGTGTCCTTGAACTCATATCCATACTTTCTGAGCAAGTTTACGATATCTCTAAGAGGTTCAAACATATTGTCGAAGACATATTGCTTTTCATTTATTTGGTTTAATACAGAGAGTATCTTAACTAATCCATCGAAGTCATCTCTTTTTAATTCCATTTTTAGCACAACCTTAGCTTCATCTATAAAGTCTTGCAGTTCCTGAAATATAAATATAAATTATTAGCTTTATTACAATAAAACACCTCATCGTAGATGTAGAAGTTTTATAAAATAATTGTAAAACTCAAAAATTCAGATAAACGCAATGATCTCTAGTTTCAATTAGATTTATAATATATTTTAGTAATTATTTCCGCAACGCATTTAATGCTTTTGAAATATTTAAGGAAAAATATTACAATTTTTAGATGCCTAAAACATGTTTTTTTCAAAAAGCTACAACTGAACATCTTCATTAAGACCTTACTTATTTTATAACAAAATATTTAAATATGAAAAACAGATATATTCGACAAACCGACGAATAATAATAGCCTTGCAGAAATGCAACTTACTAAGAATTTTTTTTACCGAAATAGGTGCACACAAAAAATAACAATAATGTAATATAAAATATAATTATTTCCTTTATGTAATAGAAGCTTTTATTATATTTTCTTAAGTCGGTTATGCAGTGATATCCAGATGCATAAAAGCACACAAAAAATTTGTGAGAGCGAGAAACATTCTGCACATTCGTACACTCATGTCATGTGGGCTGTAACCAATTCAGAAACAAATTCATATACTCACGAAGAAAAAGCAATGCCCGGAGCTCTGCAGATACTCTTAGCAATCGGCCATAATAAAATAAATTAAAATAAATGAGCAGTCTGTAGCAGGCTGGTACATCCAGTACTGTGTAAGCAGCCAGCCAGCTGCTTGTCAGCTGTTAATGATCTTTGCTATTTAGTCATCACTAGCTTGACAGCGTTGAGAAAGAGGGGAAGAGTCACTTTTCGAGGCAGAGAAAAGAGAGACGGATGTGTTTGAATAAGTTGTGAAATTAATAAAGAGAAAGATAAAAGCAAAAGACTATTACAATCTCAGAAGTGGGATATTAACCTGGCAATGGAAGAAATTAATATTAAGGATTTGACACTGGCCACATTTTGGCTGGCAATTTTGGGGATCTCCACAACAGGATCCAAGGCTGAGCTAGAGGCGCGGATAAATTCGATGCCAGCAAGCGACAGGAGCGGATGGATGAAACCAAGGATGGATGAAACTAACAGTGAGGATGAGCCGATCGACAGTCAGACATTGCAAAGAAATATTGGGCGGATACAATTAAGAAGTGTTCCTGAATGTTATCAACTGAATGATATGCAACTTCAAGTGTTGTGTGTTACCAAACTAAAAGGTAAATCATTACAGTGGTTGCATATGGATCCCTTACGCACTGTGAAGCCAGTAAACGAGCTGTTGGATCAATTAATGGTGGCGTTTGGCGGAAAACTGGCAAGGTCTGAGCTAAGACGCAAGTTTGCCGCGCGCCGTTGGCAACCTACCGAAAAATATAATTTCTACTTCGAGAGTAAAACTATGTTGGCTCGAGACCTCAATATGGATGATGAGGAGTTAAAAGATGGTATTATTGAGGGCATTCCGGATGAAAATTTAAGACTACAGCAATGCAATGTTTTGATGACCCATGATGCAACGAGCATTCACAAATGTGATTCTGCAGCAGCATCGCGGTTCTGGAGGAAAAGGAGGCGCAAAGTCGGTGGCAACTAACATCAGCACAGTAATTAAGGATTCACGGTGTTTCTATTGCAATAACAAGGGGCACTGGGCAAAGGACTGTTTGAAGCCCAAAAGAGAGCACGGTCGGTGTAAGAATATGGTGCCACAAGTCATCTGGCAGCCTAATGCCCTCAAAGAAAGACACACGCTGGAAAGGAAGATAATAATAATGTAAGACAGGTACAAATCTATTTTAATGATACCATTGACAGATCAATTTTTGCAGAATGTTTTACAGATTCGGGCAGCGCCATTTCGTTCATAAAAAAAAGTTGCGTTCCTAAAGAAAAATGATTTTTTGTATTTTGGGCTTAATGATAGCCGATTAAATGTATTTGGAAAAGTATTATGATATGTTCTTAAAGAATCAATAAAAATCAATTTTCATTTAATAGTGGTGGCTGACGAATCTATGAGGGTGGCAGTAGTATTGGCCAGAGATTTTATGAAAGCTTGTGATTTAAATATTGACATGAGCGCTCTGAAAACGATTTCTGTAGAGTTAGCGGAAAGCAAAAAATATAAACATATAAGTAATGTAGAAAATAATGGGACACCTAAAGTAAAAAATCAACCTAAGCAAGTATTTATGTTGGATAGTAGGGTATTAGAGAGTAAATTGTTGACAGAAAACAAGTTAGATAATAAATTGTTAGATAATAGATTAGTGGACAATAAATTGTTAGAAAATAAATTGTTAGAAAACAGATTGTTAGGCAAAAAATTGTTAGAAAAAGAACGAATGGAAACGGAACATTTTAGACACAGACACAATAGAAAGGGCATATAACATTGGAGAGCAAGTAAAACATAGTGATAGGGAAAAGTTCAAACAGTTGCTTGAAGCTACATATGTAAAGGCGAGAAGACCAGAGGATCCTAATGTTAAATGGGAAATGAGAATCATAGTGGAAAAAAAGAAAGTATTTAGTTGTTCGCCAAGGCGATTGTCATACGCGGAAAAAGGAAAATTGCAAGAAATGTTGGATGAACACTTGAGGGATGGTATCATTCAGCCCAGCAGTTCTGAATATGCATCACCGATTGTGTTAGTTAAGAAAAAACTGTGGATTTAAGAATGTGCATCGATTTTAGAAGACTTAACAAAGTAATGATTAAAGATAACTATCCACTGCCGTTAATAGATAATTTGTTGGACGTTCTAGTAGGGAAAACGGTATTTACCAAGCTAGACTTAAAAAATGGATATTTTCATGTTTTTGTTGACAAGGAGTCCATAAAGTTTACATCTTTTGTAACTCCTTTGGGACAATTTGAGTTTTTAAGGATGCCGATGGGACTAAAAATGACTCCTGAAGTATTTAAAAGATTTATCAACAGTATATTTTCAGATATGATTCGAGATAGTAAAGTAGTTGTATATATGGACGACATTACGATAGCAAGTAAGAATATATATGAACATTTGGAAGTTTTAACAGGGGTATTTGAGAGGTTAGTTGAGAACAAATTAGAACAAAGTTAAATACTTAGGATTTCAAATATCAAAGGACGGTATAAAAGCTGATTATAAAGGGCTGGAGGCGGTAAAGAACTTTCCTATCCCGGATAAAAATCAAGCGGTATGATTTAGTAAGAAAAGATAGAGTATTTAAATTGTTTTTTGTTCTTGAAAGAAAAACTGTTAGAAGCGCCGGTGTTATAAATTTATGACTATAAAGATGACATTGAGCTGCATTGTGATACAAGCGCTTTGGGATTTGGAGCAGTATTGCTACAAAGAAAGCAAGATGGCAAATGGCATCCCATATTCTATTTTTCTAAGCGTACAACGGAAGCGAAAGCGAAATACCACAGTTTTGAGTTAGAGACGTTAGCAATTACATATGCACTGCAGAGATTTAGCATAACAGATGCGAATAGTTTGAAACGAACTTAATTATTTGTCAGACTAAAGATAAAGAAGTACAATAAGTTATGAAATAGTTAGAAAAAGGCAAGCTTAAATTTTTAGAGATGAGGAATGGAGTACTGTATCGGAAGACTAATGAAAATAGATTAATATTTTATGTACCTGAAAGAACGGAGGACCACGTTTTGTATAAATACCATGAAGAGCTGGGGCATATTGGAAGAGACAAATTGTTAGACGCCATTGTAAAATCATATGGGTTTCTTAACATGAAAGCCAAAGCTATGAGTCATATTCAAAACTGTTTAAAATGTGTAGCATATTCACCTAAGACAAGAAAGGAAGGTGGGATATTACGCAATATACCTAAGGGGAACAAACCCTTAGACTAAATTCACATTGATCAGATAATAGTAGTGCAAACAAATATGTATTTGCAGTATTATATGGCTTTTCAAAATTTGTTCGACTGCTTACAACAAAATAACAAATAGCAGGAGGTTACAAGCTCATTAAAAGATTATTTTTGATCATATAGCAGGCCGAGCTAATATCTGATTGGGGTAGCTGTTTTACATCGGCGGAGTTCGAAGAAAGCAAAAGTGAAATATAAAAATTGCAACGGGTTCTACGCAATCGAATGGGCAAGTGGAACGCATAAATAAAAATTTAGGGCCCATGATAGCAAAGCTAACTGAACATGAGAGTGGACAACATTGGGATAGGATTATTGAAAAAGTTGACTATACATTCAACAACACCCAACATTGTAGCACCAAACAGTTCCTTAGTACAAAAAGGTTAGTGATGGATTAATGGAAAAGTTAGAGGAGATGAGACAGTTAGATACAGAATGTGAACGAAATTTGGAAGGGATTAGAAAAAAAGGCAGAACATAATCAATCAAAGGCGCAGGCCAAGAATGAAAAATATTATAATGTCAAAAGAAAAAATCCAAATAAATATAATGTCGGCGATTATGTAATGGTAAAAAACCTTGATAGCACGGCAGGAGTATCGTGGAAATTGATACCTAAAACCAAGGACCATATATGATAAAAAAGGTGTTAAAAAAATGACAGATATTGATGGTTTTCTATTAGCTTGAAATCCTTATCAGGGTGTTTGGAGTGCTCAAAACATTAAATGCTAGATAAAATAGACATAATAAGTAAACTTAATTTTAAAAATTTTTAATTTTAATTTTTAAGAGAAAGATAAAAGCAAAAGACTATTACAACTCGTCTGTCTCTGCCGTAACAGAAAATATGCGAAGCACTTCTAGGCCATTTTGCAGTCCCTACATATTGTATGCTTAGTGTCTTGACCCAGCCTTAGTTAAATTACTTGTTGGAGATTGCTAACCAAGGGAAAAACAATCTGGACCGCTTCAACCTACAAACCTACGAAGAACAGTTTCACGCGCTGAGCAAAATATCAGAATTAGAAGACAGTGAGACACTATCACTATTAGACGCTAGCAAAAACCACTCATCGGTAATACAGTCTCGTCATGACCTTGTGTGGCATAGGTATCCGAGCGTCGGGCTAATAAGCGGCAGATCACCGTTGGAAGGAAATGCTTAGTGATTGCTAGACCGTCTCAGCATGTTTTCCTTTACCAACTTCCCAATTAGATGCCCAAGTTCTCAAAATGCGCAAGAGCTATTTTATGAAATTGTATCACATAACACACACACCCCCCCCCCCCCCCCCCCCCACCCACGAAACATCCACCCCACTACTATCACCCTTCTGGCCATCAACTGAACTAACACGCGAGCCTTCATATCGCCGATTTTATGCAATTTTGGAATCGACACTCCGTTGATTGGAAACGTGAAGAAGAAATGGATTTAATTTTTAGATACATAAATATATATTGCCAATTAAAACATTTTGATTTAGAGTACCATAAACCTTACCTGAAGTGAGTTTCGGACAAAATTAATAAGATCCATTTTAAACAAACTGATCCACTGACCAATTTGATTGAGAACGGATCTCTTAAAGCCTTCCATATTTAACCGCAAAAATCCAAAAAATATGTCGTATGTTTCCCACTGATGAACTTGGTCCTGTAAATCTATAAACTTATCCAGTTGCTCTTTATAAACTGAAAATGGTGGGTACTCTCCAGTTCCTATCGACTTAATTCCAGAGCTTCCTTCCTGCTCCAATTCCGCGTCACGTTCGGCTAATGTCAAGTTGCGACCATATTTCTTGACTTCGTTTAAATAATTGTTTTTGTCCCAAATCCATAGGTAGGAATAGACCATATACCCTTTACCATGAATGCGAATAGACTGTAAAGCCTGTTTAACTTTATTCATTATATCAGTACGCTGTTTACTGAGTTCAGGTTTGTTCTCCAACTCATCTATGGGAAAAGAAGGTGAAATACATTAAATTAGTCTCAATGCGATCAGTTGTGGTTGCTTTGTTATTTAAAAATTAGTTGCACATGAGCCCATGCAATCACGACACTAATTCTTGTACTTTTGCCAAGTGGGCGCTAAAAGGCCTCGAAGAGAGCCATACCGATTAGAAGTAGTTAATGTTCTAACACTGCCTCAAAACAAGACACAGCGCGAGCGTATTTCTGTACAGAATATTTTTATCACGTATATTTTTCTCCATATATATAAAACTGTTTGTCCTGACTAACTGACTTGCTGATGAACGCACAGCTCAAACCGTAAGTGCTAGGAAGCTGACATTTTTACGGCGTTTGCTGCTCATGTCTGCAATATTTGTCGCGTATTGCAGACATTTGTATGGCGTTGTTGCAATTGACACTTCTAAACAAATTTTAATTCAATTGCAAGTATCGGTAATTACTTAATTGTTGAAATTCGGTCAGATCTGTACAGATATAATAAATTTATGTGGAGAAAAATATCTGGTTTAATGAAAATTGTAAGCTAGACACACCTAAAATTTTTATTTTGTCACATAATCTCATTGAACAAGTAATATCGCTTATAAAATCTACTGCACACTGTGCAAAAAACAGCTCGTCGTATTTTATGAAGTTCCAAACTATTAATAATTATCATAACTAATCAAACCCTATCTATATTAACTAAGCTATTTGTTATGCGATATTAAGGAACCATTAATATCTAGATCATCTTCTAAACAAATAATCAGTATTAAATCCGAGGCCTGTTATGATATTATCTCAGGAAATATTAATAATTGGTGATCAACGCACAGCTCAAATCGAAAGAGTTAGGAAGCTACCTTATGTGATGAAGGTGCATGTGTTGAAAAAACGCAATCAGCCTCGAACTCATTTTCAAAGATATATGTATATATGTATATATTCAAATATTAGAGAGGTATTTCACACTTTTCGAAAAGTTCATTCCTCCTTGGTGGAAATGGGGGTCAAATATTTGTTGGGTGACGTTTCGTGTTCAAATTTATTTTCAAAGATCTATACTTAATATCATTTGAGACGTGTTTCACACTTTTCGCGGAATCCAAGCATCCTCGGTAGAAATGCGACTCAAAGATTTTTTGGGCGAAGTTTTAAGTTGTGTCCGATTTGCTTCAAACTTATTCTGAATGCTCTACATAAGAACTTAGTGAATACTTGTGTTCGGTTTAATTTATTAGAATTATGTTTGCATAACATTTCAGTTACATCTTGCCCTGCGAGACAAGCAATGTAACTATTTTGTTTGTTTTGGCGCTTCTTAATATTATTAGCTTCAATATTATTAGCTGTTAACTATCTAGCGCTTCTCGCTTTACGCTCACCGTCATTTCTTTTATCGCGCTCTTTTACCGTTCCACTTTTGTCTTAAGCGGCTAGCGCATCAATGCTAGCGACGCCGCAACTCACTTTCGTCTCGTATGTTCGCTATATCGGATTTCTTATCGATCGCCCCGTTAAAATTTGCACAGTTCGCATAACTTAATCACGCTCGTTATAAGCATATCAAATAAAATAAAACTGTTGTACGAATTTTTAAGAAAAGGCTGTGTTTTTAAAACACCATAAATTCTCGCGATTAAGTGCTAATAAAAAAGCTTGTTAGCCCAACATCGTGTTTCAGCGATTTGGGAAATTCTACCAACAGTGGTTAATTAGTGAAAAGCGGTTGTACGAAAGTTTTTTGCTTAGCAACTGATTTGCTTTAAACTTATTTTGAAAGGTCAAACCAACAGATCCAAAAGCAGAATACCACAATTAATGTTACAGCCTAACAGCAAATAGTTATTGCGAACTCACTGTACTCTGCTGCTCACTCGCTTTCGTTGAAAATTTGTATTCTGCATTGACGCCCTCTGCCCATCGCTCTGAGGGGTGAGCGGTTTTTGGAGATGGTTTTTGTTCGATTTACATATCATTTATAGTTTTTTTTTAAATTCACAATCTAGGCACAACTAGTTCGAGTTGGCTGCCAAGTAACAATATACCCTTATAAATTCTAATAAGTGCCCTGCGCGGCTTAATAAGAATTAATTTGTTGCAAAAAGGTTTGCAACTACACATTTGGACCGCCGACGTGATTTTTCTTTTCTTATTTACTTATATTTAATAATTTCCTTTACGCGCCTCAACATAAATTTAATTATTTTAAACAAGTGACAGTCTACTTGCGCATCTGTCGTTTTTGTGCGCTACAATCATAATGTTTGATGAAAGTGCAAGTAGAAATGGCGGGACGATTTCAGCTAATCAAGTGGCAGTTGGAATCCAGGCCGCTGTTCTTAAAATAAAGATTAAGAATTGATGTTATTTACTACAGAATATCCTCTGTACTTGATCCCGAGCGTTTTCACGATGTTGACTACGAGCTGCAAGATTGCATTGGCAAGGTATCTGACTTGCATGCGAAATTTGAAGCAACTTATGACAGCTTGCTGGATGTGTGTCATACCATCATTGAAGAGGCACCAGATTCCGCATTTTTCCACTTTCAATTAAGCTGCAGTCGATGATGCGCGTTCTACCTTTGCTGTTCCAAACCACTCTTGATTGGCTTAACTTAAATTGCCGGAGTTAAGTGAAGGCTACACAGAATGGGCCGATTGCTCTTACATGTCCACCACGATCATTGACAAGGATCTCTATTTGACCAACATTGAAAAACTCCAGCATCTACGGTCGTGCCTCAAAGGCACAGCACTGGATACAATTCGCGCGACTATTATCTATGTGTGCTAAATATACACGCTGCTGCAATATCTAGATAGCGCGCCGTACATCTCCCTTTTTAAAAAAATTTTTTTAATGTGTTTTTTATATAAGTTTTTATATATGAATTAAGTCAAGGCATGAGAAGTATTTGGGTCGATCCAATTGATCTAAAATGTCGTCAGTTCTGGGGAGCGGAAATTTATCGGATAAAAGCTTTTTATTTATTTGACGATAGTCAATTACTAATCGCCATATCTTTTCCTCTGATCCCGGAAGGGATTCCTTTTTTTTTTTTTTTTTGTGTAAAAATTTTGAAATAGTAAAAGTGGGCTATTGTATTTGGATACAGATGGTTCGACTATATTGTCGGTGATCAATTTCCCAACTTGGCTATGAGGACTTCGATAATTATACCCTGAACCCATTAAAAATGGGTAAAAAGAGTTTAATGTATTTGTGCAAATGTATTTAACAGGAAGAAGGAAACATCTCCGAACCTATAAAGTATATATATTCTTGATCAGCATCAACAGGCGAGTTGATCTAGCCATGTCCGTCTGTCAGTTGTTATCGATTCGGTTTCTAGTCCGAATTCATCACTATGTGTTTTTGGAATTGGGGCTAAAAATTTTTATTAGTTGAGCTAAAACGATTTCGTTTCTATTTTCTTAGTAGTTTGAACTTAATCATAGTTTGAATGTGGTTCATATTCTAATTTGCTCCACATACTGCAAATGGCCGATAATTATGCTGCCATTCTCCCCTTCGCGCAAAATTTCACTGGCAATGGACGCTTTGATTTTTAACAATTCGTCTTTATTGGAGCTGGCAAGTAAAATATCATCAACATAAACTGCGACTATATTAATTATAAATTATTAATTATAATATTAATTTTACCTTGCTCATTGCGAATATATACACAGGGCTCGCTGACACATGGAGTAAAACCCAGTTTTCTTCTGTTCCACTCTCTACCGCTTTGCTTCTGCCTGTAGAGAGATTTCTTCTTCTTTATCAGAGAAATCCGTCCGGTTGTTTCACATAAATTTCCTCTGAAAGTTCATTGATCAAGTAGGCAGTAGACATGTCGATTTGATGAACAAAAAACTTATGTTCGACTGCCAATGCCATAATCACTCTTACAGACAAGTAACTCACAACTGGAGAGAGCGTCTAAAAGAAGTCGACGCTATAACAGTGCGCACACTCTTTGGCCACTAAGCTTGGCTTAACGCACTCTAGATAGCCTTCCTTGTCAAGTTTTATGCCAAAAACCCATTTGTATAGCTTTCTTATTCGCTGGCCAGTCCACAAGCTCCAATGGATTCTTATTGGATTCTTATTATTATTCTTATCTCCTTCTGAATCGATGCTGACCATTTTATGTGTGCGTCAAACGGGTTAGCCCTGTACTATTTTTACAGGGTGCGATGATGTGTCCGCCGACTAGCCACTTGAGGTTCGGTGGCCACCCACGACGTCGCCATCCTGTCTTTAGTCGAAATTGCATGCAAATTAACCAAAATTAACCAATTAATGACGACTAATTGGAACAAAATATTTTTTATTGTGGGGAGGCTCGAAGTTTCCGATTTAATTGATTCCAAAATTAGAACTAAAATACTATTGTGAACTTATGCTACAAGTCAGCTATTTTTATGATAAAGCTTGTTTAAAGCTCAAAAGTTCTCGGTGTTCCTTTACGTTCCTTTATGTTCCTTTACGTTAGGAATTGGGCACGAGAAACTAGGTCTAAGCTTTCGTTTAGGAACTGAGCATGAGCCTTTGGATCTTTAGTTTACGTTATGAATTGCGCATACGATTCTTGACCTTTACGTTAAGTGGTTTGCGCTGTTATGTTTATGTTAGAGCCGGAAGTCTGGATCTTTATGTTAAGCTGCGCGTTAAGCTGACGTAATGATTAAAACGAGTCTAATAAGTAATTGTAATAGAGACTTATTCCGAAATATTGTTTATGATTTCAATAAGAATTGCTTTGCAGGCTGGGTGATAACCTGCATTTACTCCTAGTGTGGACGAGCATAGCAAAAAAGGCGAAGCCAATCCGAAACGACCGAGCTGACATTCAGCGATCGAATGATATCGCGGGTATTCCCTGCCGGAGCGACGGAGCGTAGCCGCTTCTAACTTTGTTGAACACCGGCTAGCTCCGGTGCCCGAGATTAGTGTTAATAAGAAATAAAAAGGATTATTAGATAT